CTTCTCTGGTGTGTGACATTTCAGTGAAATTCAAAAACCAAGTCTTGACAGTGTGATTTATTTTCAACTCAAAATATCTTCAAACTAACTAAATATAAAGTTATTAGGGAGGAAAACCCGTCTGGATAACAGCAGACTGACTGCTCGTAAAATATACGACAGGTCTGGACCACTCGTGAATTTTGTTCGTATCTGAAAAAAATCTTAGAATACGAAAACATTGGTGAATGGCACAAATTCTCCTGAATCACTCGTACGCACAACTTAAGAACAAATCTGTGCGTACGAACGGTTCTTGCATGAGGCCCAATAACTACTAGATCTCTCATTGTGCAATGGTTGGTACCTGTTTGGCAGGGTAAGCATGATCTTTATCGAGTCTGGAGGCGATGGGGGTCAGTTCTCTGTCAGCGTAGTCCCTGCAGGTCTGCCTCAGTAACTGATGGGTCTCTGGGAGCTCTGCCAGCTGAGACAGACTCCGGCAGCCACTGAAACACAGGCCCAGAGCTGCAGGGGAGAAGAGAATTACCTGTCAGTGTCTCAGGGTGATGTAGAGATGTGTTTAAAAGTTTCCATTCACCCAGCATGGGCGTGAGTGTCATGGAGTCTGTGGAATATCTATCCAGCATCAATACATTTTAATCCACACAACGTCAAGTTCAACTGTAACACAACCCTGATTCAAACTAAAGTTGGTGTAAAATCACTGTCTGTAAATGCAGCTCATAGTGTTACCTGCAAATGCAGGTTAAAGCTCTATCATGCAAAGAAAAGAAACATTTACACCACTCAGAAATTCCACTGGGTAAAAACTCATTTAAACTGGACTGAAGCAAAGTAAAAACTAACTGTGGTCAGTTTTTGGAAACCAAAGACGCCACAACCTCTGTACTAAAGACAAGGAGGTCAACCCAGCTTGTTAAATGTTAGCCGCGCTGATGGTATGGGGGTGCATTAGTGTCTATTGCAGGGGTCTACAACCTGTGTCCACATGTGGCTTTTTGGTCCCTCTGCAACGCCTTTTAGAAACATAGAATTAGAAACTACAATGTGCACAGTTCAATTGTAGTTTTCAGTTCAATTTGGTATTCACTGCATGTTTACATGAATGTAAAACATGATATTTATAAGAAGTATTATTAGTTCAAAACAGCCAGATTATATACTTTAAATCAGTGTTTCCCAAAGTTGGAGTCCTGAAACATCAAGGTGGGGTCCTGACAAGATTTTCTGAATTAATTACATTTTTGCCTTAGTTGTTACAAAGGAGTGAGTTTAGTGTAT